TGCAAAGAGTGATGGATCCAGACAACAGGAATCGAGCGATGGCAGCCATCTTCCCCTCATTCTTCAGGTTAACTCTCAGGGTGATATAGGACTGCAGCCAGCAGAACAAGGTTCCCAGTCCAAACACCATAAGGGCGCCAATGTTGTGAATGTTTTCCTCAGTGAATAACTAACACAAAAAGAAGTCAGCCAGTAAATCCAGACTTCAGTTATTAAGTCTGAAAATTAACCACCAGATGACGTGGTGTATGTATGAGCGTGTGTGTGTTTGTGTGTAACTACCTGAAAATTCCCTACAATGGTCATTCCAAAGGAGCTAATAGAAAAAACCACCAAACTAGAAAAGTTCAGCCAAGGTTTGTCAATTTTGCCCTTCAGCTGCAGGTATCTGAAAACGGCAATAAAAAACCCTGAAAACAGGAGAAGAACCATTACGGATCTAAAAACAAACTTCTCAGCACACAGCAAGTAGGTTAAAAACAAGATTTCTTTTTCTTTCTTTTTTTTAAATGAGCTGAAAGATGTTCTGAATCAATGAAAAGAGCAAACTAATATACTGTCTATGTATCCAAAGCTTGATATACGTTTTTTCTTATGAGCTCCATCGCTGTCTTTTAATGAAAGCTCTAGAGCAATGTTTCCATTACCTACAAATGCTGCTAGGTTCATGACTTCACTGAAGACACAGCTAGCTGGAGGAAAGTTGCCTGCAATACTGAGACAGGAAGCAGGAGAAAAATCATATTTGCTATTCTTAAATGAAACGTTTTTTTATTGTTAATGTGATATGAAACGGAGAGCACAGCACACACCTGATGTAGGGGGGATAAAGGGAGCCATTTCTTCTCCTAAAACAAATGAACAGCATGAATCCAGAGATACATCAAAAGAAATACCTGCAGTGTATAAAATATATGAATTCAAACCTGTATTCTGAACCCAGCGGTGTTACGTTCTTATTGTAAACAGCTATGAAGTACCTGTTTAAAAGCAGCAACACAGAAAGAAACATAATGAATAAAACATTCTGTAACAAAAGTGGAAGCAATACTGAGGTGTGTGTGTTTGTTTGTTTTTTTAACTACTCTGGATTGAAATATTTCGATCATGAACTGCTCGTCTACATACATACTTTCATGCGACGCCAGCGTTCATAGTCTCTTATCATCTGGTTATCATCTTCATTTCCCATTTTTGTTCCCTTTCTTGTAGTCTTTCACTGGTAACCTACTGGTAAACATAACCCACCCTCCCAAGCAGGTTGGGTGTGCACACGCGTGTCATTCTGTCTGGGAACATGATCGCTCAAAACGTTTTGAATGAATCCTGATAAAACTTTGTAGGTGTAGGGTGGGGCGATGGTAATAATCCACTGAAATTTGACTTGCATCCACCGAGATCTTCAAGGTCAACGTAATGAATTATTGGTTGGAAAGTGACAAAAAGCCTTATAACTTCAAAACTATGACTCTTATACGTGTGGTGTCTATTGTCAACATATAGAATATTTGACTTTCCTTTAAGTTGAAACCAAAATGCATTATTACTGCACTAAAAACTTCTTCAAGTCCATTTAAAAAGAACTAAGAAAACCAAAATACAAAGCGGTTCTGTTAAAAGTAAATACTCCCCAGAGAGTGAGCTGCCTTGGCGCAGGTTTGGGCTGTCAGAGTTAGTTTCTGATTTGTGTGTCACATGTTTTTCTTATCATTTTTAATCTCTCTTTGGTTAATCTTATTCGTCCCTAATATTTGACTTCCTGTTGCTCATTTTACACATTTCTTTCTAGTCGTTATGTCTCTGTGTTGATATTGTGTTTTTTAAGTTGCTTATCAGACATAGATATTTGTGTTAGTGCTGTTTTGTGTTGCAAGTGATCCTTTTTGGTGTCTTCATGGTTTTCTTTTATTGGGTATCTGTATAGTATAAGTGCCTTGAGGCGACTGTTGTTGTGATTTGGCGCTATATAAATAAAATTGAATTTTATTGAATTGAATTGAATAGTACAGAGTGTACACAGATAATAACCAGTTAATCTGGTTATCTTTGTTGCTTTTTTGGCTCTTTTTAACTGTTCATATACCTCTCTGAGTGTATATATGAGGTTAATGTGTTCCTAAAAAGAACAAAACTTACACCATCAACAGTCCAGCAGCAGTACAAACAGAGTAGATGGGAGGCAGAAGAGCCCACAGGCTGAAATTCACCATCTTGCCCTCTCTCAATCCACAGATGAAGATGCTGTGTTAGTCTGCATGATAACATGTATTTGTTTAATATATTTGAAGCGTAAAGGAGATGGAGATTAATAGACAAATTGTTCAGGTGGAGACAATAGCAGGGTCCAGAAGGGATACAGCAGGAAATACTTTCAAGAACTACTTCTGAGTTACCTCTTGCATTAAATTTTGCGTTTTCTTATTTTAGCTTGTATTACCTGAAAGCTGGAAGAAGCAGCTAAATTACAGATCCCGCCTGGCTAAACAATGCTTTTGTATTAGATTTCCTGAAATGACCTTTTTTGCTAACTCCATTAAGGATCTACAGCTGGACCTTGCCATGTGACCTACTGACCGGAAGTATGTTTATTATTATGTTATGATGGGGTGACACAGGAGGGACAAGGAAAACCGTTAACAGGACGTGTGGGAAATCACGATATGCTGTCATAAATACATATAGCTCTGAGGCTTTTGTGCACTACAAATGCACCCTTTAAAGCGACATATCAGCAAATTTAGCTCCAAACAACAACAACAAAAAATGTGGTGTTATATTTTTCAAAGCATTTACAAATGTTTAACATCAAAATGAATCTTAAATTTACATAGTAGATCTAAACCTTAAATGTGTGTGACATGTGAGCAAGCGCTGGAAAGAGCACAATTAGATTTCACGAATCCCTGACCCACACACGACTGTTGGGGGGGTTAGGTCATCTTTTTTGGAAAATCTTATGAGGACAATAACAAGTTATTTGGAATCAGACTTTCAGACACAGTGACTTAAATCCGTAGGATCTCATTTTAATTTCCTTGTAGCAAATGTGCAACTGGTTTATGACCAGGGTTGTTTGAGACATGTAAAGTATACTTTTATATTCACGAGGAAGGCGATGAAGAAGTCATTTTAACTATTTCTAAATTCTTAAATCTCCCCTTTCCTTGCGACGTGTCTCTCAGTGGGAAGACAGAAGAAACACTGTATACGTATTTTAGGACCATCAGGAAGCGAGTTGTGTAGTAGGCTACTGTCAGATAGAGTTAGGAGGACATCTGCACACAAACATTACAAACAGATAGCAGGCTGTCCTGATCGGTTAGCGCATATCAAACTGTGGAGCATACCTGTCTCTGTGGCGGATAATCCCCGAAACAGCGCACCGAGGAGCGGACTTGATGGTCCCGCAGGTATATCGTGTTCACAGTCCGCTGGCAGTCCCGGGACTGTCCGCCCGCGGTGCTGTCTGTGTGCCCGCAGAGCGCCCTGCTGTCGCATGGGGGCAGTGTGCAAAGTATGTGGTACAACCGGTCTGTGGCATTGACTGTTTTCTACAGTCAATGGTCTGTGGGCGTCTGTGCTGTTGTTTGTCCGTCAGTGAGCCACAAGAGCCGCGAAGAAGGGAAGAAGGGCGTTATCTAGGCCAGCACAGACTGGTTGTACTACATCCACCGCCCTCTGGTGGATAGGAGTGGTGAAGGACTAAAATAAAAAAGTGCACATCAGATGCATCTTTCTGACATTATTAGTTTGTTTCATCATGCTGATTTTGGTCCAAGCGCTCACTTTATTTGTTTGACAAGTTTAAATTGAATTACTAACTTCATGCTGTTTGGCACGGACTCCCGAATACTCACCAACCTCGAGAGCTTTCTGTCTGTCTGCATCACGGTCCAGGTTAGTCTACTATTTGGCTTCCATCTGTAGACTAACAGGCAGACTAAATGAACTGGGCAATCAACCTCCTTTGTTCTCTCGGAGGTGAGAGTTCTGTCGCTGTCTATGCATCTGGAAGGCCCCTTGGACCACCCTCCTCAGGACAAAGAACCTTGCTGACCATCATCAGACTCTAGCTCCCAGCTTCTTGGTAAAAAAAAATTGACTTTCTACTTAGGACTGGGAACAGTATGTTCGTGAGGAAAGATCAGGAATCACGGAATCCAATGTCCGCTCTCCTGGACAGAAGAATTTCACCCGAAACAGCTTGACAAGCCAGGTGGATCACCGGGATGCTCCAGTTAAGAGGGGGATACTGTCGTGGTCCTGCAGTCTCTGTGCTGCTCACTCTGTCCCTGCCTCCTCTTCATTTTCCTTCCAGCTTCCCCTGTGTGTGTGTGTGTGTGTGTGTGTGTGTGTGTGTGT